GAGAAAGATGCTCGGCAGACAAATAGAATTCCGTCTGTCAAACAGACAACTCCTCTGGCCCAAAGCTCCTCTCTCAAACCTAAAATGTTTCATCTTTTAACTCTGCCATGGACTCTCCTTGAACTTTTTGTCTGTTCTCAACTGAATCAGAGGATTGTGTAGCTCCCTCCACTTTCTATCTGTTTCCTAGAAGTCAATTGAAGAGGCAACTGATGAGATTGAAAGCATGGGGGACCAGGTCCAGATTGGTGTCAGCCCCAGAGACCTGCAGCTCTGTGATCTACAGCACCTCTTCAACCTTAACCTCACCCTGGAGACAGTTCAAGTGCCTGCAAGACCTCCTGCCGTGTTCCAGTGCCAAAGAAGATTCAACCAACAGTTCTCGGTGACTATAGACCTGTTGCCTCAATATTGTACCATGTGAAGGTCCTAGAGAGAGACATCCTTTGGTCCACCTAAGTCAGCAAAAGTATCTATCTGGACCCCATGCTGTTTGTTTATTACTGTGGAGTTGGAGTTGAAGATGCCGTCATACATCTGCTTCAACAAACCCGCTTTTAGACAAGCAGTTAACACTGGTAGTATGATAATATTTGATTTCCCCAGGATATTTGGCATGATTCAGTCTGACCTATTTGATTACAAACAGACCACAGTGTTTTAGACCGAGTGGTCAGCTGTGTAATTAAGTAGTCAGCAGCACAGGAGCACCACAGGGGACGGTACTGTCTCCTTTCCTTTTTAATCTATACACCATTGACTTTCAGTGCCATTCAGAGTTCTGTCATCAGCATAAATATTGGTATTGCTCTGCAGTCAAATCATAAGTACAAGGAGCCCCTTTGTGGCAAGGTCTGAAAATATAAAAAAAAAAAAAAATCATCTGACTTTAAATTTGAGCAAAACACGAGAGATGATTTTATAAGAAACAGGATCGTGTCAAATTCTAATGGCATCATGAGAGAAGTGGAGGTGGTATAGAAATATAACTATCTTGGTGTTGTTAGCTTGTCTAGCTGTAGTTATCTTGTTTTGTTTAAAGTATAAGCAGTTGTTTTCTTCCACCTGGTTCGTGGGAGGAGAAGCCTTTTTCAAGATTGTCTTCCTTTCAGATCCCCACATCTCTTTCTCATCATTGTTTTATGCTGAAAGATGTAGTTAACGAAAGTTTGCACCTTCGTTAACTCTGTGGTTAAGTGTGCCTCGAATGGTGTTTATTTTTAAATAACCGTACAAAGACAAGATCAATCTTTTTATTAAAGAAGTTTCTCAGTCCTTTGAAAATAAAATTTCCATAACAGTGTTTACTAGGACAACAGATCCAACTCGAGATGCAACTGTAAAGTAATCTACTTTACAGTAGATTACTTTACAGTTGTAAACATGTAAAGTAATCCTCATTTGCTCATTTAAAATAGTTTTGTTTTTTGGTGAAAGGTTAATATCTGTTTCCCAAAAAAATCCTAATAATCATGCAAACATATTGAGTCTCTAAAATTGTGCAAAAATATTTCTAGAACCAAATATGATCCAATATTGAAAGTCTAGAATAATATGTCATCTAGATTGGATTGAATCAGACTGATAGCTTTGAAGATTAACAATCCTATGGACAAGGGTACAGTTTAACTGCATAACCACACATTGTCTTCATTGGTGCAACACTACAGTTTTAAATTCTGGGTGGAAGTATTTTATTCAGATTTTTAAAACTTTGTGTAAATAACGACTGCTTACTTATGAAGAAAATAGCTTTTATCTACAAATGAACAGGGCCGCCTATGGAGCTGATTCATAGTTGCCCTTTTCATCTCACTTTTTTCTATCTCTGTCTCTTTGAAACCCAGACGGCCTCAGCAGATGGCCGTTCACTCGGAGCCTGGTTCTCCTGGTGGTTGACTCATGTTCAAAGAGA